GTAGAAAAAAACGCATTCATACTTTCCTGCAGCTCCTGCTCTGAATTGCCTGTTCCACACGTGTGAAATACACGAGCTTCTACGGTTTTGTTCGTGCCGGCTGGTGAAGTAGGTCCATGTACTGACCAACCTAGTGTACATCGAGTGGCCATAGGTGCGTTTTCCTGTCCGCATCTTATCTGCCTGGGAGTGATCAGGTTTATATTGTCTTGTCCAATGATCATAACAGCCTTCTGGTTTTCGTAATCTTTCATTGGAAGCCCTTGCAGATGTGAATGTTTCTTCATTTCTGACATTCTTAGTGTTTGTGGTGACAGTGACAAATTTTCTATCGCATGAATTCCCCTCAAAAAGTGAATCTTGCTCCCGTCATCTTCTTTCGAAATTTTCACATCAAATTTGAGAGAATTCACTCTCGAAGTTATCTCATCGTTCGTCCATTGTAGACATAATTGCTCTTGATGCCCTGTCAATCCTAATTCTTCAGAAATTTTCGCATCTAGTAGAGTTATGGTTGATCCTTCATCGCATAGTGCGTAAATTTTCATCACACTTCTTGGGCCATATATTTTTATCGGTATCATTCTCAACAATACCCCTCTATTGCTACTCACTGTACATAGCATTTCAGCCCGAGGCTCAGAAGTACTTGCTGTCATAACATCAACTTCGTTAATATAAGCAGGTTTTTCTTTATGAAGGAGAGAGTGATGAAACATTTTACACCCATTCAATCCACAGGGCTTTCTACTTCGACATCTGAATTTTTGGTGGTTTCGTCTGAGGCACGAGAAACATAATTTTTTCTCAGTGACTCTCCTCCATCTTGTATCGACATCATCAGCTTTCATCTGCGGACACACTTCTTCATGAGAGTCTCTTCCACAGTAGTAACAGGGATTCTTCTCAGGTAACTTGGATTTCTTGTCATCACTGATACTTAAAACCCTCTCATATCTTTTGAAATTATTTTGTCTTTCTGTGTCGGATGGTTGGGGTGTACTGACAAGACATGCAGCACTGGCATAACTTTCCAACCACTTAGCAAAATCCGAGGCAAAATCTTCCAAATCTACGATTCCTTTGTTTCTGACGACAATTTCTCCCCAGCTAAGTTTCAGCACGTCTGGGAGCTTGCTCAACAATTCTTTCATCAACTGAGGATTCTTCAGATGCCCCGTTGATTCCAAAATCTCCATTGTTGAAACCATATTATTCACCTCGTTGGAGAAATTGATGATTTTCTCCAAATTACAGTCTTTTATGAAAGGCAAACTCTCGACTTTAGAAATTAGCGTTTCGATAATAAATTCCGGTCTACCGAAACGAGTTTCTAGAGTTTTCATAATTCTATCTACATTTGAAGTCAACATCATACCAGAAACGGCGGATTTTGCAGGTCCTTTCAGGGTTTTCTGTAACTTCAGAATTATTTCTTCCTGTGTGTAATCACATAATTTGCATATATTGGTGAAATGTTTGTAGAACAATGGCCATTCCTGAGGATTTCCGTCAAAACAAGGAAAGTCTCTCTCCATCACTTGTCTAGAACCAATACTCTTGGATTTGTGGCTCTGATCCGAAGTTTTGACGGAAACAAGAACATCCCTCAGTGTATCACATAACAGTTTGATTTCACTATTATTCGGGTTTGCGTCGTTGATGTGGTTACGAGCACAATTTTCCTCGGAAACAATTTCAGTTGTTTCTGGAATATTCTGTATCCACTCTGCCACTTGATTATCAATTTTTTGTTTTGGAATCCTTTCAGCTGTGACATCATCTGAATGTCTCGATTCGGTTTCTACGTAACTATTTTTCGTCTCTAGTTCAACATTCTGCAGATCCTCTTCCATTTCAAGAATTCGAAGAGAATTGTCGATTTCCAACTGCTTCGTTTCGAGCTCAAACTGAACTTTCTTGCGTTCCATTTCTAGTGCTTGTCTTTTCTTTTCATTTTCAAGACCTAGTCTCCTTTTCTGTAACTCTATGGAACTGTGTCTTGATGAACGTCCTCCGTTTGACGCAATAGATTTGCCCTTCTCTTTCGTGGAATAGGTATCTTTTAGAAGAGAATGGCACTCTCCAAGAACTGAATGATGCCCTATTCCATCAGCAGGTAATGTATTTTCATCTGGCCTGGAAGTCCTGTTACCCTTTCCAAAATTGTCTGGCCACACAAAATCTGCGGATAGAGATCTATTCATCCCGGCAAGCCTTCGTCTTGGTTTATCCTTCTGCATGTCGCGGATCACGTCGGGGTCACCAATGTTCAATTCTGTGTTGAACAGTCTCGAAAATCAATAAAATATGTAGACTTTCAAATCTGAAGTTTTAATCAAATTCTTTTCTTCCGTCGCACTGACGGTGACACTTTTACCAAATACATGGTGCTCAAAATTATCACATGAGAATATACAATATTCGACAAAAACTATGTGAGTGTCTATAGTAGATTAGTAGGTACTTTTACTTTTGAATCATAATGTACCATCCGGATTTCTTCATCTTCCGCTGCAGTTTTTGTGCATTTCACAACAGCACAATGTGATGGCATTAGCGAATTGATGAATAGCGGAAAAATACGATTCATATGCCAAAATAATTGTGGAAAACTATTTCGATCACTTGTAAACAAATATGTTTTGCCTCCAGGGTCGGTCATCTGACAGTTCTTGCACGCGACCTATTAAAAAGGCAACACTGTGCTAGAATGAATAACTAACCTAACTTTTATAGATGAAGATAAGCAAAAGTTGCGTTTTATTTGTTCCATTCTGGTAGCGGTGGTGGGAACAGAATGACGTTTACAAATAAAACGAGAAACTTCATAACTTTGCTTGAGAGAATTTACATAAGAGGTTATATTTGTATATGGGAGATCCAAATAATTTAAAAAGCATAATACTAAATCTAAGAATCTAGAAAATGAATCAACTAATATTTGGAGCAGTATTTGTGGTGATTGAAGAAACTTCTCTGAGATCGACAGAGTTTATTTTATCTGGGAATGAACATATATGAAACCTGCCTTACTTGAAAGAATCATGAACTAGTGAAACTCACGCTGAAAATGTCTTCTAAATGTCTTTTACTTTCAAAAAGGTTCGTTTTTCGTCAATCTAATTTGATTTTTGACACCTGTCAATAGTCATTCCACATCATTCTTTGTAGTGAGACGGAATGGAAAGTAGCAACCGGAATCGAAAAAGTTGCGAATAAATGGGTGCGTTTTTCATTCCAACATTTTATCATGCGCATGAATCGAAGAAACCATCAAACTGTTGCAAAATTCCGCTGGAATGTTGATGGACATCCATCAAACTGTTGTAATAAAATGCGCACTTTCAAATAGCATTTCGAGAATCCAGCAGTTTGGAGGAGATTGACATGACAGTTGACACATTTTAGTGTTGTTTTTTGTTTTGATTTGATAGAAAACAATTAATATTGAGGATTTTTGAGATTCTTGAGAGATTTTAGAAGAAAGAGTCAGTGTTAATCAATAAAGTCGAATTAGCCTTTTCTGATTCTCAAGATACATGATGACTGACACACAACAAAATCCGTGTTTCCATCAATGTGTTGTATAAACCATTGTTCAATCCTTCCAGCATAAATTCCAACAGAAAAATTGGTGACGTCACGACAAAAAACCGCATCTATCAGTGCGCACTTTCTTCGATGGAATGAAAAACACGCCCAATATATTCTGGTGGCGGAATCGGATAAATAAAACGCAACTATTGATATGAGGCACTGTCTACACGACCGCCGCGGCGGTTGGATACTGAAACATAAACAACCGCCGGCGGTTACCTATTTTTATATAGAAGACCGCCGTGCGACATGAGGAAGGAAAATATCGTTTCTGCATCAAAAAGAAGACTACTTTTTTCGGTAAAACTGCATTTATCATGCGATGGGTTTTTTTTCGAAAATTTTTTTTGGTACTTACGTATTTTTGTCTGAAAAACACGAATTTGATAATGAAAATGTGAACAAACCACTATTCATCGAGATATTTCAAAAAAAGTTCGAAATTTCGACTCCTTTTTCCCTCTTGCGTTGGATGCATTTTCAGGTACTTGCTCTTCTTATTTTGTCATTGGACACTTTATATACTCATGATGTACTTCAATGACACATTTTTATACAGAAAATTCAACAGGAAATATGATTTTTATGGTGAGTTTTTCCTATTTAGTGAGCAAGCATACCAGATGACGGCCATTTTATCCATAGGTAATCCAAATACGAGATGTCAAATGTCAATAGATTGCTTTGGAATGACATTACACACGCCATTATTTCAAATGATATTCTTCCTTCTTTTCAATAAATATGGATAAATCACAAGAAAATCATATTTCTAGTTGACTCAATAATAGAAAAAAATGTGTCTTACATTGTGATATAAATAAATTCATCCAATGATGAAAAAAGAAGGGTAAATTGTTTTAAATTCAATCCAGAAGACAGGCGGAAAAGAAGGGTAAATTTGTAACTTTATAGTGAAATATCTTGATAAATAATGGTTTGTTCACATTTTCATTATCAAATTCGTGTTTTTCAGACAAAAATACGTAAGTACCAAAAAAAATTTTCGAAAAAAAACCCATCGCATGCTAAATGCAGTTTTACCCTTTTTTCAAACAAACTGACCTAAATGAACCTTTTTCCTGAGAAGTATATTTTTCGAGAAATTATTTGTAAAAAATAGTTTTGAAAAATAAGGCCTAGTAGGGATTGAACCCGAGCCACAGGCGTGGTGGTCAGGTGAATTTTCAACTGAGCTATCGCTTTGCTCGGAAGTACTCTCTATGAAGAAGGAAGAAATATCATCGCGGCGGTTGTTTATGTATCAGTATCCAACCGCCGCGGCGGTCGTTTATGAATCAGCATCCAACCGCCACGGCGGTCGTGTAGACAGTATCAACTATCAAGATATGATGAACTACCTAATTTATGATGAAAATATTTCAAAAAACTAAACGAAAATGAATGTTTTAAAACATAAATTCAAAAAAGTAATCTTTCATGTGACTGAACGTGTTTATTCTCCGAAATCATACTTCTCAATTTCGAGACCATTACATCAATTATGTAAAATTGATTCCTTTGGCTGGTTTTTATTGGTAAGTTAACTAATAAACAATCTTCTATGTCAATTTTATTGTTTCTTGATTATTCCAGACAATACCAGCATCTACCTTCTCATTAGGAGTTTGGCAAATTCAGCGAAAGTCCTGGAAGGAAGCACTTATTGCAGATTTAGAAGAAAAAACTAATAGTCAACCCACTTCCCTTCCTGAAAAGTTGTTCAAATACATATCCTGCTTATCCATATTGATTTCATCATATCTCTCATTTCAGTATTGTAGAAATAAATCAACTAGAGTATAAGCCAGTGCATGTGAGAGGACAGTTTCTACATGATAAAGAATTATACATGGGACCTAGGTCCCTTCTTGTTCATGGAGATGCTAGTTCAAACAGTTCACTAGTGTCAGGAAATTCAAGTTCAGGATATTTAGTAGTTACACCATTCAAGTTAGAGGGCAGAGAGTAAGTGAGAGCATTGGAATTTAATGTATAGAGTAGATCCAAGGTGGAAATATAATATGGTATGCTACTCACATATCTTGAAATCCTCTTTTCTGTGCATAATGTCATACTCCCTCTAAAAAACCAGCAATGCAGTGACATATACATAGATGCATCATAGCACACCATATTGAAATTCCACCATGAGTGGATCAATTTTTTTCATAGGTTTTTCTGATAACTGAGAAATACCAATGAAAGGGCAATATAGGTGATGAATTTATGCACCAGGAGCATCTGATCCTGAAGGGCAGGTGGTTTTTGGTCATATTTTAATACAACAAAATTAATGGGGTAATTCCTTTTTCCGAAATCAAATCACAAATTGTCTAGTGTACATATGAAGGTAGTGGGTACTATTCATTTTTAATGTATCATGTAATACAGAAGCACAAGGTGAGTTATGATACAAGCCAAAGGCTAGTGAATTGATAGCCATTACATGATCACTGCATTATTCATTCCAAACTGTTTTGAATTTCAACAAATTTCAACATCTCCAGACCATGCCTACTACTACTTTTTAATTAAATGTCAAACAACTCAAGCAAGGTCATCATCTGACTTTGTGATAACATTTAACAATAGGGAAAGCATTCCTAACTACCAGCATAGTGGCATAGATTGAAAAAAAAACATCATTACATTATGAGATGACAGAATTCACTATGATAGCTAATTCTATTGGCAGGAACTAGTGAAGTGTTTCTGCACTCAATGTATATATTTCCTGTTCATTCACATGTGATAAACAGAGGTCAATATACACTAAGTGGTGAAATACTCCACCAGTTCCTGCCAATGGAATCTGCAATAACTTTGAATCTATGCCAGGAGGAATGTTTTTTTATTGTTAAATGTCATGGGAACATCAGATGAAGACCTTGGAAACTGCCAATAGGTTGAAAATTCGTTTCATAATAGAAAATACCTGTCTTCATTTATGAACAATATTAATAGGTCAGTAGCAGGTATAATTCAAATATTGTAATATGGGAGTAGAAAAACATTTTTATAGCATTGTTATATTAGGCTTGTTTGTTTATATTGCTGAAATCACTAAAATTGTTTTTTTCCCATAGTTGTCTCTGTTCATGGCATGATGTAAACAGAGAGTTATAGAAAAAAATCAAGTTCAGCAGGTAGAGCAAGAACAAAAGAACAGGCCTATTATCTCAATCTCTAGTAGCATCAGATCAAAAGATGGATTTATCAGAATAAGATTCAATGAAAATGGTAGATAACTGGAGAAAAATTACTTTCCTAGTTAATTCTCTTTCATGGGATCCAAAAGATACATTTTGGTGGGTGGTTGGTTTGTTAGTCAAGACCCTACAAATGAATGAGCAGTTTTATGTATTATATCTAAACTGTATTTTTGTGTGTGAAATTATTTGAGATAGCATTATTAGTTTGATAATTGATACATATTAGTGGATAATCACAATGATTTGACTGAATATATTTTTTCTAGTGAGACAATTCTTGTGAATCGAGGATGGGTACCAGCAAAACAAAAAGATCCAAGAACCCGTCAAAGAGGGCAGGTTGAGGGAACCGTGGATGTGATTGGTATAGTCAGGACCAATGAAAATAGACCAAACTTTGCTATGAAGAACCAAGAAGGAAGCAACTGTTATTTTTATAGGTAAAATCAACATTTTATTCAAATTTCATATGAGGATTAGTACTTACCATGCCACAGGGCCAAAAATATCATAATTTCATATCTTATGTATTCTTATAGTAGGTTTAGATGATCTGGAAATAACTTATTGAGGGTTTGCTGAACACACCAAACACCCTACATGAGGGGAAAATATTTGAGATGAAAAACTAGATCCCAATAGTTGAGAGATCCAGGATAAATACCTAGAGTTGCTCCAATTGTCAGTTGTTTCAACCTACTAGCCGGTCTGCTGATAATAACTTAGAGTAATTTCAGACAACTTAGTTTGAAGGCACATGGTGATACATGGTGATCTAGGCATGTTATCGCCATCTAGTGGACTAAGATCGAAGGTTGGGTCGGAACATACTGTGCTGAACGCAACAGGGTGCTGTCACTAATATGTAACAAGTTAACCATTTTGCTGACAGGTCATACTATCTGAATAGATAGATAGATAGAATTTATTGGTTCCATAAAATCCACATAAAAGGATGTAGAACATGTCAAAACAAGTACATATTTTATGCATAGATGTTTGAATCTTTACACTTACATTTGGATACATATCATTGAAGACGAAATGAACAGCTAAATGTCACCATATATAACAATACTAATAATAACAACAATAATGATAATGACAACAATACTAATAATAACAATACTGATAATAGAAATAAAAACGACTTGTATATAATGAAATTCAGAATTTATATCTTGATGTTATAAATCAATTAATCTGTATATGTTCATTGAAAAATTCATTCAGACTATAAAAGGCTTTAGAGACAAGTATTGTTTTCATCTTTTCTTTAATATGTCTGTCATCTAGGTTCCTCATTGTTTGGAATTTTATTCCATATTTTCATTATAGAGAATTTCACATTTTTCTGGACATACTGATTACGGTTAAAATACCTTTTTGAATAAAAATATCTTTACAACTAACTCTGGGTCCCATTCCGAATATATTTCGCAGACACTTTTTCTGAATTCCTAATATACGACTAACATGTGTTGAATTTCCCCAAAAAATTATTACATATGCCATTCTTGAGTGCACAAATGAGTGATAAGCAATTATTGCCGTGTCGACATCCACATTATTCGAGAGAATCTTCAGTGCATAGCTATATTTTGCCATATTTTTTGCTGTATTATTTATGTGCTCATACCAATCCAGTTTTTGATCCAAGATCACCCCAAGAAAAGATACACTTGATTCCGATGATATGTTTTGATTGTTTGTTTTCTGTAAACCAGGTCTCGAGTTTCTCTAATGCATCTTTAATTTGTCTTTCACATTCATATCTTGTTTGTTCTTGAAATATCAGAGATGTATCATCTGCATAAAGAACCATTTCCTGTGCCACTACTCCCGGCAGCTCATTAACATATAAAATGTACAACAAGGGACCCAAAATGGAGCCTTGCGGTACCCCCCTCAGAACAGATTTGTCATTAGATTTTATCAGAACACCTGCATCATTATATTCCGCTGTTCTCTGTTTCCTATTAGTGAGATAGGATTTGATCAAATGCAATTGAACTCCCCTTATTCCATAATGCTCCAGTTTGTTGCAGAGTATATCATGTTCAACTGAGTCAAAAGCTTTGGAGAGGTCCAGACACAATGCTGCTGTTTCTTTATCGTTATCGATAGAGTTCAATATGTTTGATAGTGCCTGATAAACAGCCTTTATTGTGCTTTTCCCCTTCCTAAATCCATTTTGTTCAGACGTCAATATATTATTCATATCTAAGAATGTTGATAACCTCTCGTATATAATTTTTTCGAATATTTTGTTCACATTTGACAGTAGTGAGACTGGTCTATAGTTTGCCATATCGCCCTTATCCCCTTTTTTGTAGATAGACCTAATATATCCAATTTTCAAAGACTCAGGATATATTCCTGTACAGAAGGATAAATTTATGATATGTTCCAAAGGAATCGATATCAAGTTAGCAGATGCTTTAATGAGTTTAACTGGAATTTCATCTTCTCCCACTGAATTTTTATTTTTTAGTTTACTGATTATTTTTACTATTTCGGGTCGGTTTGTTAATTGAAATCTACAACTGTTATTGCAGTAAGTTATTTTACCATAATCTACCTCACCACTCTTGATGTCTGGTGCTGCACTTATATAAAAGTCATTTATTCTATTCAAAATGTCATATGACGATGATTGGGGATCTGATTTGCTGAGATTATGAAGAATATTTTTTTTTTCATTATTAGAGGTATTGTTAGTTATTCTTTTGATCAGCGACCAAGTCGCTTTCGATTTGTTTTCTGCATTGAAAATGAAATCCTTATTGTCCAAGCGCTTAGCCTTTCTTTTAACTTGTCTCAAAATGCTACAATATTTTTTATAATAATCCTTTGTCACCTGACCTCGCAGCATTTCGTTACGCAGATAAAGTTTCTTGGCACAAGATATTCTGATACCGTTTGTTACCCAAGACTTTGAAGTACTTACATTTTTGCATTTTTTGAGGGGAAATAATCTGTTCATCAGCGTTCGAAGTTTGAATATGAAAATATTATAAGCTCTATTTACCTCAGTACAATTCAATATTTCGTCCCAATTTTCGCGTTCTAGTTCTTCAGAGAAATATCTCAACCTGGCTTCCGAGAACACTCTCCTTACCCTAAACTGATTCTCCATTTTGCTTTGGTTTTCTTCGAGCTCTAGGAACTGACCATAATGATCTGACAGAGCCAGATCAATAACTTCACAGCATTTATACTCCTTAAAATCAATGAATATATTATCCAAGAGTGTGCTTGAATTTTCAGTTACTCTGGTGGGTTCAAAAATCAATTGTTGCATATTGTGACTAGATAGCGTGTCTAATAATTGCTCAGATATTGGGTTTTTTACTAGAAGATTCACATTGAAGTCTCCGCATACCACTGTTTTACAATGTTTGTACTTATTATTAACATAGTCTAATATTTCATCAATTTTTGTGATGAAATTTTCAAAATTACCAAGATTTGTACGATAAATGCATATGATGATATAACTGGATCCACTGCTAACCTCTGACTTAACAGCAGCACACTCAATTTCACCTCTTCTATTTTATGTACACGCTCACACTCGTATTCTTCTGATACGAAAATGCATGCTCCTCCATGAATTGCGTTTTTTCTTGAGAAACAGGACTTCATTTTATATCCGCTTAGTTTAGTGAACGATTCTTCCTCTGGTTTCAGCCAGTGCTCTGAAAGACATATAACTTGCGGCTTATAATCCATTGCTTCGAAATTTGCCTCAATATCTAATATTTTGTTACGAATGCATTGAATATTTTGGTGCAAAATTTTAATGCTTCTTTTTTTTTATCTCCGTACTTCCGATCTCATTCCTTATATTGTTTTTTTTTCTCTATTCTATCATTCCTTGAGTCCGCATTTTCTATACTGACACCATCTGTTAAATGATGCCTATTACTATCTAGTTTTTTTGACTCTGTGGTACTTTAATTATTTTCGGAATATCTTTAAAGTATTTGATTCTCAGATTTTCCTCCCCTTTCTGCATTCTTTGCTTCATTTCTTCTCTTAGGATTTTATATTCATTAATTTGCATAGCTGTTTTGTCGAAGCCGATAGCCAAAGTTTTATATTCAGGAATTTTTATCAACTCCTTTGCCTTGAAGAATACATTTCTTGTTTCTGTGTAAGAAGACAGCGTTGCTCTAATTGGTCTTGGTCGATCAGTATTTGGCTTGCCCACTCTTCGTACTTTTATTTGTGTGCAATTTATCTCTGGACATACACTCTGGATAATTTCTCCTACCTTGACAACATCGCTCTCATTTTCATCCTCGGGCTCAGTTTCAATACATCCGAATATCATTATATTATTTTTTCTTCTTTCTCTTTCATTTATTTCATTCACAGCATCTAGTGGATTCTGATTATGTTTTACACCGACTCTAGACTCCGACATCTGCTGTTTCAATAGATCAATCTCTTGCCTCAGCTCATTATTAATTACCAACTGTGCTTCATACATTTTCATCATCTCTGAGTATTTGCTGTCCATTTTATTCAACTTGTCCATCACATCGAAGAGAGTAATTTCTTTTTGTTGATCAGGTGTAGTAGAGCTAGTAGATTTCGCCTCACATCACATGATATGCAGAACCACCTTTTTCCTTTGGTATTCTTCAGTTCCTTTTGGAAGTTGTTCAAGCTTGAAATACTCATTCCAATACATTTTGTGTGAAACCATTTTGAACATTTGGCGCACCCAATTGCATAGGAATTGTTTGTGGTTGCTTTACACACCCCACATGCCATCGCAGTCATTTTTACGAAGATACAATTAAAAGCACACTTTTCCCTCCGAATCGTCGACTTGGCAACCTCGCTTCTCTCCGTTCTCCGGAGCTCGACTATGTTTATGTTGTCAATAACACTGATTTTTGTCGTTTTGGAATACCAAATTGACTCACTGTACAGGGTGTGCCTCTTAAAATGGAACCCCCCCTTAACTCTTTTGTTTTTGGAGGTATGAAAAAATTTTAAATAAAAAAGTTGTTTGAAACGACCCAAACTTTCATTTCGTGATGTTGTTTCATATACAGGGTCATTCGTTTTTCCAGAAAGGACATCAACTTTGATTTTTTCAACGGAACACCCTATATATTTTCCAATATGTCGATTGAGCTTTTTCTTCTGATTCTAAAAATATATATGAGTTGCATATTCGGATCGAAAATAATTGAGTTATTGATGATCAAAGTTGACCAAAATACCGCTTTATGAACCTTAACTTCTAATCATCTAATGTAAGTTGAACATAGTGGGCTTTGAAATAATGTTTATAAATTGTTTGAGCTCCATGTTTATTATGAAATTGAAAACGTTCGATTTCTATAGAAAAAAAAGGGTTACAGTTTGAATGAAAGATGTGAAATTTTGGAAATATACATTTCTTGCGGGAAAAATACAA